TCGTCGCCTGCGGCCAGGACCAGGTCCAGCAGAGCATCTCCTCTGGTGGGACTGTGCACCTCCTGAATCAAGTGGAGGTCCTGCAACTCGGCCAAGAACCTCCTGGAGCGGTCCGTCCCGGCTGACTGCTCCTCCCAGCAGATGTCCGGGTAATTAAAATCGCCCATGACAACTACATCCCTTGCTTTTAGTGTCTCCGCAAGCTGGCCTGAAAATTCCCTGTCCAGCTCCTCCTCCTGATTGGGGGGTCTGTAATAGACCCCCACCGTCAAATCCCTCTCGCCTTGCCCCCCCTGGATCTTGACCCAGAGCACTTCAGCTCGCCCTTCCCCTGACCCCATACTGCTGGCAGAGGATGTGTAGTGCTCCTTGACATAAAGTCCCACCCCCCCCCCTGATACCCACAGGCATGCCAGAATAAGGAACATGGCTTTAAGTGAAGAGGTAATGTACAGGAAGAAAAAGTAACTATAGTATACTACATACAAGTAACTTTTTATATGTGGTTACATGTAGTTACCTGAAAGTCTGACCAAACTTATAGAAGTGATGCCACCAAATTTAATATTCACTTGTGCAAATACCTACAATGCAAATATCCAAATGACAAAACCAGCATGCACATGCTGATTAGGTTCTCAGAGCATATACTTGAGTTTATACCATTCTAGGCCCTTGGTGCTACTCAGGGAGAGCTTTAATGATACCTGTAGCAGTGCTAAGCACACACGGTAACAGAGAAGAGGCATAAACTTAGCTTGCTAGGCATCTTTTCACTAATCACTAGTTTAGGTTGATTACAAGTCTGCGCGAGATACACAGTGAGTCAACAGCCACTATAGCTCCATTCTTATACTAGTTTTGGGTTACAGAAGGACTTTACCAAGTGTCAAAACCAGCAGCATAGGGACCTAGCCAGGTGCCCGGTACACAGGGGCAGCAGTGACTTCCAGTTGCTGCTGCAGTTTACAATTGCAATCACATAGCTGTCAACAACCACTTTTTTTGCTTGTCCTTCCCCTGTCCCACCCATCCCACCCCAAGTCAGCGCCCAGGCTGGTTGCCATGTTTGCTCTGCCCGACTTATGCCACTGCCCAAAACCACAGTCTTGCTGATCGATTACACTGATGCTGTGAAGGTGCAGAAAACTGCCCTTTGGAGGCTGGTACCAACCCATCTTGACCTCATCAAGAAAGATGTCCTGAGTGTCCTCAGTCTGTTCTTATCCTTATGGGATGGTGTCCAATACTGCTTAATTCAGTAGTTCAGCTCTTTTCTGAACTTAGGGGACTTTCAGACACTAAGCCCTTCCTACCATCTTAAGTAAGCCTAAGCCTCTAGCTCAGCTAACACATGGGTCTAGCCAAGCTTTGCTTAGTACAACTCCCAGTCCCAGGGACATACTGGAGTTCACTTGTCTCCGCCCACCCCTTTTCTTGCCACTAATCCAAAGAAACAGAGGTGTCTCAGGGCTCCTCCAACTTGTACTGAATGCTACCAGTCCTCAAAGAAATCTGCTAACAGTAGAGAGCTGAAATACAGGAATGCTCTGGATGTACCCACTGCTCCTTCAGTCAACCCCTGTAAGGGGGCCATGTTGGGGCCTGGAGTGCAGCCCATTATGACTTACCTGCCAGATTCTATTGATTTGGAAGAAATAAAGGAAAATATTCTTAAAGTCTTGTAAATGCGAATCTGTTTCCATTTAGACTGCATTCTTCTGAAAGAAATCTGTACCTCCCCCACTTCCCTATAAGTAATGACAGAGAAAAAAGGAAACATTAATCAAACAGATTGAAATGACCTGGATAAGGGCCTCACCGGAAGGATCTAAAATGCTTCTGTGGTCACAAGAACAATTTTCATTCCATGTTTCTGGACTGCATAACATATTACTGAAATCACTAGACATTGGGAATGTAAGATCTCTTAATGGAAATATTATAGACTTGCAATTTGCTTAGGGCAGCAGTTTCTTTTAAAAAAACAACCTCTTACTAGTCTAAGAAAATCAAAAACTTATGTTTGGTCTTTATATAAAAAGTTCAGCCATTAACAGAGAGAATCCAGTAAACTGCATGCAGTGTAACAGTAGTAATCTGAGGTTAGTCCTACTTTTTAATATGGTTAGAAGTAAGCACATACCGGCCTGGTCCTGAGGAGATACCATAACAGACTTTCCAGCACAAATATTCACTTGCAGTTTGAAGCACTTTGAGCAATGTCGTAAATATGAAGCAGGTGCTAAAACTGGCTTAATTTTCAACTTGGATCCACCCACAGGTTTGGATTCTGCCCTTTTTTCCTCTTGTGCGACCCCACAGATATCCATGGGATTTCACAAGGTCCAGAACAATACAGAATTTGGCCTCGTGGAGTGTCTTTTGTTTTTGAGACCATTAGACATAGTTTGGCTGGGCTGTTGTGTTCCTCTTCTAACCCACTCACTGCTAATAGAGGCAGCAGCAGAGTGTTTCTTCCTCTACTCTTTCTTCCTTTACTTCCTTTACTCTAGACCACACCATAGATTTTAAAGCAGAAGGCTGAGGCCATGCCTATTTTTGATGCTAGGATGTAGGAGTGTATAGCACACCTTTTGTATCTTTCGACTTCTTTGGCACATATTGAAGTTAATCAACTGCAAGGCACCATTGGCTTCCGTGGAAGTTAAGTCAGTCCCCAAGCATATATTTTAAGCACTTCAGCTGCTGCCGCCTCCGCCGAGGTAAGCAGGTACACGTGCGGGTGGCACACGTGCACCCTGCTCCCCTCGCTCCTGCTCCCCAACTTAGTTGAAGGTCGTTGAATGGTTTCAGTTAAAATGCCCATTTTCTATAACTTTCTGCAACTTTCACTTTTCAGGCTGAAGTTTTCTGTTGGGATGTACTCAATTTTTCAAGTCTGAGAAAAGTTTCAATCATTTTTAACAGAATATAGGCAATTCTATTGTTTTTAATTAGCTGATTTGCTGAAATATCCAAACGTTGAAATTAGGCCTGACAGTAGCCTTCAGTGAGGAATAGAGAAGACTTAACTGAAGTGGAAATTGGTTTTAATTACCCTGACTTACAAGTTTGAAAACTATTATTTTTTTTCTTGAGTCCATAAAGTATACATTCAAGGAAGCATTTGTCATGCATGTTATACAATGGCTGTGTTTACCTTTGTAACAACTTGGCTAGTGAAACAGGGTAAGGACTGAGGCAAAGGCTCCAATAGAGGAACTGCACAGACTGTTTGTAATATAAGGGCTTTGGCCAACCTTAAAAGATGACTGTACATTGTTATCAAGACTTCAACTAACCCTGAAGCACTTAATAGTCCTCTTGTACACTTCAACAAATCCACCATGTGCCTAACTCCAGCAGAAATGGCACGTGTGACCTTACTTTTTGGTATTTGTGACTTGTCAGCATGTCAGTGTTTAACCTTAACATTTTTAATAAAACACTTTTTAATAAAATTATATATAATATTGGAGATGGAAATTAGACTGCCCAAGCTTTCAGCCTAGCAGCTGGGAACTTACGAGCATGGAACGTGGTCCTACTGGCCTCTCTAAAACCTAGCAAACTTCGAGCAGGCACAGATTAGAAATTATTTAGTACAGGCCATTAGCAGTATCGCAGAAAGAGATGTTCTTGCTGGCTAAGCCAGCCTCTGGCTTATATGCAAGGCAAAAGAGAAAAGCATTGGTAAAGGTTTAATTTTCAGGTTTTATTTATGGTATAACGGTAGCCACTGAGATGTTGACATTCTTGATTCCTTCTTTTTGTCTAGGCAGGGCATTTTTATTAATTTTAAGGTCGTGGAGGTCAAAAGACATGAGAGTACATTGTTACAGCTCAGAAGAGCTGGTGGCAGCCATGACAGTGAATCTTGATTCCATTTCTGCAACCCTGATTTTTAAGCTATAGCAAGCTTGTAAGACAAGTTAGTCAAGGTGCCAAGTGGTAGCCAGGAAGGACAGGGGCAGCCTCTTCCTTTAAAATTAAACACAAAAGCACATAACTAATTAATCTGTTTACGAGTATTTTCCTGTCTTTCTGTGCCCCATGATACATCCCTATAACAGTTTTGTGACATCACAGAAGACCCTAAGAATTTTTAAATCACAGTTGTCAGTTTAAGTACATCCAGCTTACGCTGGTTTGCCTCCTACTTCTACTTGCTGTATACATAATCATACTGTAATATGTTTACAGAACAAAATTGTCTTTGTTACTTTTTACCCATTTTAGCCATTCAGTGTGCAGGCCTTCAGTGCAGATCCTTTCACCACGTTTCCATTGATGTTTCCCTTGGTGTACCGACAACCATGCCTTGTTAATTTCTGCAGCTAGTTTAAGGAAAATTACATGACTTTCTCTGCTACAATCTGCAATCCTACAGCCATTGTGATCTTTGGGGCCTTTGGCATCTGGAGTAAATTTAAAACATCATCATATTCGGTGCAGAACAAGGGGGATGAGGCAGGGAGGGAGACAAAGTTGAATTAATTTTAACCTTTAAAATATTCTTTCCCATTTTGAGTTGCATTATGTACTCCCAGTCATTAAATTCTGAAAATTATATAGCTCATTCCCCACCCCCTTTTTATTGTGATTTAATAAAAAGTGCAATATAGTAGATGAAAAATAAGGTTTAGTGTGTAAAGTTTCAAAATTCTTGGAAAGATATTCTGTTACAGTCAAGATGCACGGTACATTTACGAACACATAAGATGACATACAGGATAAGAAAGAGATCAGCATGAGTTTGGTGTGGACATTTTTCTCCCTGGTAGTAAAGAAATGAGTTAATAACCTTTTATAGACTAGCACATCACCTCTGTATACTTGTACATGAATCTGCTAAGTAGAGATGTCATGTTTTAGAAATATTTCAGGGTCTTTAAAACCTTTGCAAATAGGAATATGAGGCCATATTGTATGCACCATCACAAGCAACCCTAAAATGTTGAAATTTGCCTTTAATATGTGTGTGTTTTACTTTTTAGAATTCAAGTGGTTTGTTAAACATTACAAGCTTCCAGCCTGTACGGCCTTTGCCTTCTATTAGAATTTTGGTGGACAAAATTAACTTGGAACATTCTGTGCCAATGTATGCTGAACAACTTGTGCAAACAGTCAGCAGCCTTAGCCAACCTTCTGATAACCTGCTTCATTACTGTAATGCACACTGCTACCTTAAGGTAAAAGAAAATAAAAAACATCATTGAGTATGTTGAAAACAACCTACACCCTTGAAAATAATTTAGCATGAATATAAACAACCTTAAATGTTGAGTTATTTTCTAGAGCATGTCCAGTTTTGCCAGAAGGATATGCAACAAGTCTCAAGGTCTTGGTTCTATGCTCCTTATTTAGCCAAGATGTCCTATGACTTCAGTGAGAATTTCAGTGAGTAAGCAGTGCAGGTTAAGCTTGAATGGGCTGATTACTTGCTTGTAAGATTCTCTTCAAATTATTTCAGAGAAAACCAGTGAAGAAAAATAATTTAAAATGATATACATGGTAATGACATATCTTTATAAATTCTGTTGGATACTGTGAAGGAAAGTAGTTATGTTGGATGCTTGCAGAAGTGGGGGAAAAACCAAAACAACGCTTTACTTAAAGCGCTGCACGCTCCTGTACTGAACCCTGTGCATTGCCAAAAGAGCACATTAGTTTACCCTGGCTTTCCCAGCATCTGTAGAGATCAGGTGCGTTAGTGGGGCTTTTCTGATGTTTTTATCTAATAGCTGATTGAATCGGCTTTAGCTAAAAATGCCAAAAAGCCCCACCGAATCGCCCAATTTCTACAGATGCCGTGGAGCTGGGTTGAAGTAACATGCTGCTTCTTTCAGTAAAACATGTTTTGGAGTGGGGGGAGGTTCCCCCCCACGTCTGTCACTGCCCATTGTGTCAATGTTCACAAAAAGCAAAAGCCCATTCTTGAATACAGTGAGCCACATCTTTGCATAGTTCAGTTCTTCTGAGTATTGGAGGGGATCTTAAAATATTTAATTTTAATATCCTTTACTGAGGAGGAAGCCTTTTTGCTAGGTTTAGAGAGTTTAAAAATCACAGCAATTGTTTGGCAAAAGGAGCATAGCTTCAGCCATAGTATCGCATTCTGGCCTGCTAGACCAAGTGCTGTGGTTAGAACAGCTTGAGGGGCTTTGGGTGCTGTTATAATTATATTTGTATCCACCCCAACTAATGTCACTACTAACAATAGTAAGTGTAAATATCTCCTTTGAAAGAAAACACAGTGGACCTCCTTCACATCTCCACTGTACTTGTCTATCCACACCATAACAGCTGTCTAAGCAACAAGATTCTTAAACTGTCCCTATAAAATAGTAACACGGTGTTCCATCATTACATGGCAAACTTCCACTTTCCTAGGAAGGTGCAGCTCCTAGTACATTAAAAATGATTGGGTCAGAAATATCACATCTTGTCCTCCTAATTTTTTTTTTTATATTTTCATTAGGGCTTTCCTCCCCAAGGGTTTTATACATAATTATTAAAAAACAAAACAAAACCATGGCTTTTTCATTTGTGGTTGAATTTTCTGAGTGCAGAATTGAGCCAGTTATTTTATCTGCTATATAAATATGTGAATTGTGCTCTGACATGCAGACGGCAGAATAGGTTAAAAATATTAAACTCCTTAAGAGTTAGTTTTCACATGGTCAGGGAGAAATGTTACTGAACAAGGGTAATATATCTTTAAGAATATAATTCAAATTTAGCCTCATTTTATAAAAAATAAAAAAAAGAAAAGCTGCTCTTATGTAATCCCACAGTATAAAAAAAAAAAATGGACTAACTACTAAACAATGGATTGGTGGGTTTTACATGGCTTCATATAAACGATAAAATGTAATATGCGATTGTAAGTAAGCATTTGGCATGTTGCATAAATACTAACAGGAAACATGAACATATTTTTATTTGTTTTTAAGCAGCTACAGTTATTTCTTTTTAAGATGACAAACAAGTTTTTATGAGTGGATGGGAGATATTTTCAAGTTGTGAGGAAAGTATTCTGTAATTATAATTGATAGTTTTATATTTAATGATTATTACTTTAATATTATATTTTGTGGGGCTGGGAAAGTTCAGAGAGTTTAGGTAATGGAAAGTAGAAGTGTTAAATCTAATCTGTGTTTGTTGAATCTTTTATCAGTATATAGTTTGACCTTTTGTGCATGTTTCAGATATTTGGCTTTCAGGCAGGACTAACCTCTTTGGATATCAGAGGATCATACTGCTCACCTGCTCCAGTTATCCCCTCTTTTAGTACTGCTTTTTATGGCAAGCTACTTAAATATCCCAGATCCTGGTGAGTATTACATTTTACAGAATTAATAATATAATCTATAACTATTTGTTTTATATAGTTTTGGGTATTTGACCAGTCAAATAAAGTTTGGTCAATTGACCAGTCAAATATCAGTCAAAAATTGTAGAAAATTGCCAATAGGTCCAAATAATACACAGAAAAAGCACAAATTTTCCATTAAGAAATGTCAAAAAATAAAAATCATATTTCTGTCAAGAAAACTACAAAAAATGTAGGGTTTTTTGTTGTTTCGGGGTTTTTTAAAATACAATTGCTATAAACTTTGAGCGGTCAAAAATATGCAGTCAATTGACTGGTCAAGTGACCATATTTGAACGGTCAGTTGACTGGCTACCAACCCTAGTTTTATACTTACTGAGAGGTTAAATTAAATGGATTTTTAAGGATAGTATCATTTATTTCTAGGGCTTTTTGTCTCTTGCACCATATCTTATTTGAAATCTGTTGTCTGCAAAGAACGACTTTGTAAGGACACAGCTGTTAATCAGCAAGCCCTTTGGTAGTTCCTTCTTTCGTTGAGTAAACCCAGTGACAGACTACAAAATACTGTAGCAAATGTTTTGCTTTTTCAATCATAGGGAATCTCACAAAACAATTCCCATTCCTTCTTGAATGCATACCAAAGATAATGTTATCTATTGATATTTTGATTAATGCATCTTAATTGAATAGCTCTGCTCTCACCTTTCAAATCAACCAAATCAAAAGTCTGATGCAAAGCAGCAGTAACAGCCTGAATCACACTATATTTATCTGTCATATTACAATTGAAACCATATTAATGTGACAATCAGATGTGTAATATATTTGTAGTGATTGCTTTACAGTATTGAAGGTTTAAAATGCAAATATTTTCACACTGAAGAATTTTTTGTGGTTTTTACAATTATTACAAAATGCAAATACTTCATAAACTATTCCCTTTTCTTTTGTTCTTTAACACAATCTAGCTCTTCTGTTAAAATTTCACTCTAAACTAGGTTTTGTATTATATGACATACTGTATCACCTTTATTTTTGGGGTTTTTTTAATATTGTATTAAAATATGTCTTTTTGTCTAGAAAAGTATAATATATAAGGATTTTTCCTTCTGGTTTAAAACTGAGCTGGATCTAATAATACATAATTTGAACGCAAGTTATCTTCAGGAATGTTATTAATATGGGATAAGCTGGTCAGCAAGACAAGTCAGCATTTTAAAAACATTGGCCTCGTATTTAATAAAAGTGTCTTTCTAACCAATTTGTGAATAAAAAACAGGACACAGTAACGTGGCCTATGGATCATAAATGTAAACAAATTGATCCTGTCATAGTTTAGCTGTGCTACATTATAAAATAGTAACCTGTCTAATTTTGGTAGCAGCACGGTTGTGTTAATGAATACGCATTTCTAAGACAATCACCGCACCACCAGGTGGTGATAGATTAATTTTCATGGTCATATTTTTCAAAAACACTTTACAAAAATAGAAGACCATTTAAGTGAAACAGTTTTGGCTTTCCCTTTTGTTTAAGAAAAAATTCCTTTTCTGTGGCAATTTAAAATTGATTTAAATTATTAACATTGGTAAAGACAAATACTTCAGTAATTTGATAAGATTAAAGAAAAAAAATCCAAATTCTTTTCACTAAATTATATGTTGCTTTTACTTGTTAAGTTGTTTACAAACTTGAAAAATAAATTTGATGTTTTAAACATAATTATACATTTTGATTGTACAATATTTTGGGGAAAAAGTATATAATCTGAGCAACAAGGATTTTACTCTTTTTGATTATTTTAAAGATGAATCATTGCTGAAAACAGTTCAGTAGGCAAGATTTAGTATTTCTAAATGTCATAAGTATTCAATCTTGTCACATTTTTCTCTCTTGTATTTATGTACTCTGGGTTATTTTTTGTTGTTACATGATAAATTGCCTAGCTAACATATATAACTCAATATACCAATAATAAAAAATAAAAATCAGTGATTTTTAGAGAGAAATGCAGCTGCCTAAAAATGGGAAATCAACTATCAACATTTTGTGAACAGGTTTTATAATCTGAAAAACTTCTGTAGTTTGATACATTTTCAGTTACTTTAATAGTAATTTGTCATTTCTTTTTAAGGTGTGATGCTTTTTTGTATTTATACGCACATACATACATACATACATACATACATACATACATATAAAAATTAATTTCATAATTTTAAGATGATAAAGTTAATTTATGCAAACAGTTTATCTAAACCAAGCAAAACCAATTTGAGGGTAATAAAGTAGAAAAAATAAATGAGTACAACAGCAGCTTGCTTAAATGAAGTGTAGCTTGAAGTGAATAAAACTCCAGATGAAATGCATCAAATAGCACTTGAACTAAATCGAAATCAGCATGAGGATTGAGAGCTTCATTGAAGTCATGCAGTGAGTGTGAATTAGTCTGGTAGAATAACCTGGTAATGTCATTAAACTTCAACTCTTTTTTTCCCCAAATTATACCACCTGCTTTATTTGGAATTTTAGATTTCACATTCCAGAGTTTCTTAAAGTACACACATCTGATGCTACATATGTTCTTCTGTTTCTTTGGAGAAAATATATACCACAGACCATAGCTTTTAAAAACAAAGACACTTTATGAACTGTTATGGAATCCCTCAGGTAGTATGTTTTGAGTTAGCAGTGAAAATTTCAACTTTATTTCTGACATAAATCAGCAGAATGGCTTTTATTTTTCTTGTTTCAAAATAATCACCCCAAACTGTACACTAACTATAGGGATGCATATAATGATATTTAAATGATATTCAGATTATAAACTGTATTGAATAAGCATTAGTAACATACTCTTATCGATTAAAGTAATTTCTCCTAAAGAAAGATTCTTACAATGAATATTAACCATTGAAAGAAGTGATATTTACTTGTGTTTACTAGTTTGGTATCTGTTGTTAATCATACCAATTAATACCAATACTAATACCAATACCAATAATCCACTGCCAAACACTTCCCCAGAATAGTTAGTTCAGTGTAAGACTTTGACTATACTTTAAATTAATTTATGTATTATTTAATTAAAATTACAAAATTTTACAGCATTTCTAGCCTGACAAAGAGAAAACCACTGTTACTTTTCATTCAGTTGTTTGTTGATATGTCAATATATTTTCTCTTGACATAAATGCATTTGGTGCAGTGCATTTGCAACTTGACTATGTTCATCTTTTTAGAGGCTGTTTGCCTGTATGTATGGAACCTCATTAACTGCTCAAATAACTTCATTATCATTATTGCAACTTTTCTTGAAAATCTTTTCCTTCAACTGAATGAGGAAACCAAACCTGGTGAATAGGCTGGATGGGATATAAGGCAAAGCCACATTTGGTAGCTGTTATCACTAGAACCTGCAATGTGAGGTGATCTATTGTCCTGGAAAAGCAGTACTTCTTGACACTGCTTTTTGTGGTGCTAGTTTTCAACAGCTTCTCACAAGCTCAGTAGTTCTCTAGCATAGTGTTTCCCACTAATAGTCTTGCCTGGTGAAAGGAAGGTTAGTTGTGATCACCTCTTACCAGTTCTAAACCACTTCTGCAATGGCCTTACCAAGTGATACTATCTTCTTGAATGTCTTGGGGTGAGGGAGAAGATTGTGTATGCTTCCAGTGGGAGTGATCTGCAGTTTGGTCTCAGGATCAAAAGAGGTGGACCCATATTACATCATGAGTCTCATTCCTGCTTCTGGATTGGTTGGATTTGCTTAATACCATTCCAGAATACTCATGGAAATGTTGTGTCATACATTCTTCTAATCAGTGCTTGACATTGTAAGTACCTATCTTGCTGGTATCTTTCTAATGCCCAATATTTCATTTAGGATTGTGTTTCTGATGTGACGTCCTTTCTTGGGGTTCTGGCCTTTGTTTTTTCCCTTGTTTAAATTCAGCTTCTCAATTCTTTTACTGCTATCAGGGACGTCTTCCCTGAGTATTGTCACCATGTCCTTATAGATTTCCTTTGGGATCATGTCCTTACTTCTCTTTTTTATTGAATCTTTGGTGACTAACTTTTATGCTTCCTTGTACAGATTTCACACAGATTGGAAAAAAATGGCTGCTCATAAAGAAACACATCAAGCTATCCATATATTTACTTACTGTGAAATCTGTTGGGTTCTAACATATCTTTAAATTGGTCAAGCAAGACTCTTAATGCCTCTTGCATACTTTTGGCAGTGAGATACAAAATATAGTGTTCTTATTGACATTTTGCAGCCTACTTCTATTTTGCTGCATACCACGTTGTATTAAACAGTTTTTGGACCTTTCAGCAAAACATTTAGACACAACTAAAGAAATTAGCAGATTGTGATTAAGAGGATATAATAAATAATAACAGTAGGTAATGCCAAACAAATGTTTAGAGAGATTAAATAACTTTTCCTTTCGCTACACTTTATTTTTCAGCATATGAGGTAAATGGGTGTAGAATAGTTAACACTGTATCATTATCAGAATAGTACTTTGTTTTTCTCAGATGAATCTTTTGAAATTCCTTTAGTACAGATTATAAAGATTAACGAGAACATTTTCTTGCACGCTCTCTCTGTCTCTCTTTTTTATTGTTTTTGTTATTCCAATATAGAGATGTTTCAATTATATATTTAATGAGCTAGATTTTGGTCCAGTTCATGTGTAATATAAGGCATTCCTTTCTTCTTTGAGTGTCCTTTGCACCTCCTGTTCTTGAGACATGCTAATTATACAGTCTAGATTAGTGGAATCTTCTTGAAGCAGTACCCGTAGGCGGGTCTGCACACCCACCTTAACATCTTTTCAGCTGTGAATATTTATGGAACAAGGTTATAAAAGGGAATGGGATAGATCAAGCATACCCCGGTTCTTCCCATTTGAGTTAGGAATTGGTACCTATCTTACTAGGTACACGGTCCTGTTCTTTTTGGGAACATTTCCCAGTTAATTGATTAT